GTCAAGGCAATGTAGCTGGGTGTGCCCTTCCATTACCTGAGGCATGAAATACTCCCCCCCCCCCCGCATTTAAAGCATGAAAACTGTACAATGCAAACTTCATTCACATGCCAGGAATAGGTTTTTAGGACTTCTGGCAAACACCATCATTTTGTGGTTTGAGCAATTCATCTCCAGCTGAGGGTCTTGACAATATTGAGCCTGGGTTCACGATGCCTCCTAGGGCCAGTGGGATTCCAGAGAGGATCGCAGCATTGTCAGCACAAAGAAAGGTAGAAAAGCCCCTCAGCCAGCTTGGGAGGACGGGGATCTGGGCCATCCAACTCTCCAAATGATCAATGACTGTCAATGTAAATGCTTAGGTCAATCTTTCTCAAAGTCAGCCACTTGGACTTCAGTGTGGACCAACTCCCAGAATTCCCCTTCTGTCCCAGAAACCCATGGGGTCTCCCCAGCCTGGCCCCACCCCATGCCCAGCTGAGGCTGCTTGGGAGTTCCTGCTGCCAACACCCATTTTTGGGGTGGGGGGGATACAGTGGCTCACCTGGTGTCCTCTATAGCCCTTCTGGTGAATCAAAGGCAAACATGGAAAATTATCGCTGTTCTAGAGCAGCATTTTTCAACCTTAGCCACTTTAAGACGTGTGGACTTCAACTAACATGCTGGCTGGGGAATTCTGGGAGTTGAAGTCCATACATCTTAAAGTGGCTGAGGTTGGGAAATGCTGCTTTAGAGCGCCCTTCCCCAACTTGTTCCCCTCCAAGGGGTAGCCCCAGGGATTTGGAAAATGGTGACACATTAGGACAAGCAATTTGAGAGCAACAAAGATTTAAAAGAGGTAGTATTCCCCACCCCTACCCCCCACAAAATAGGACCCCTCCCAAGCTGAGGGCTGCATTAAAATATTCAGCCCACTTTTATTAATATTTGCAGAGAATGTCCATCAAGGGGATTGGATAGAATTTTAAAAGAATATCCTGGAGTTGCCAATCGAGCACTGAAATACCTTTGAGGGAACCTGCTCTTGACACACAGCAATTAAAAATAAGTATAAAATTGGGCTGAATGTAGAAGATGATTCCACTTACAACTTTTATCCAAGGAAAAGCAATCACATTCCAGTCCTTCAACCCTGATTTCTTTGTTAAAATTTTAACCTCCCAAGAATTGTACAATTTGAGAGTTTTTATTTTTTTTAACTAAAAGCTTCTGCAGCCTGAAAAAGTTTGAAAACCCCTGCAATAGGCTAGGATTATTTGTTAGAAAAATATCAACTAGACATTCAGTCAGAACATTTTAAAAAGCCGGAAATGACACTATACAATACGATTTGAAAAGCAGTACAAAATGTATTTTCTCTTTCTCTCTTTCATCCTATTCTCAAAGAATATCCCACAGAGGTGTCCAAACTTGGCAGATTTTGAAAAAAAAAAGAAGCAGGAAAGGAACTGTTCAATCCTTGGCTGGGAGACCACCAGGAAATCTCAGGGGCTGAAGGCAAGGCTAGAAACTCACAAAAACATCCCACAAGATGGCAACAGAAAATCACTTCTCTACTGTTACTAAAAAGGAACATGGGTAAGTCCTTGAAGTCACGGGAGTTGAGTTCAATCTGCAGGAGATCTTGCCTTTTTTCCTGGAATGGGGGGTGACCTACAGTAGTAGAGACTCTGTAGTTCCCCCCTCCCAATTCTGGCATCCTGGCCTTGATGCAAAGCCCACCATAAAGGAGAGACACCTTTTGTCCTTCTGCGGGAAGGTTGGAGCCCAAGAAGGCATTGCAAGAAATGAGGAGGAGCGTGGCAGTGCCTTTTCCCAGGAACAAACTTTATGAAATCTGGAGCTCCCTCAGTTGCCCTCAGATTTTTTTGTGACCAGATGTGGACTAACACAACTCTCCTCTTCCATTGCAGGAAAGAATTTAAGCAAAGCACAACTTTGCCATTTGGCCCAGTGAAATTTAGGCAGATTGAGAAAAAACAAGGAGAATCTTGAGAGGCAAATCCCTGGCTATCCCAGAAACAAGCTCAGGGGATATTAGGGTTTTGGGTGGGTGGGGGGAGAAGATCGAGGCCTGGGTGAAAATCAAGCTGGACGGTTCTTTAGGAAGGGTGTTCAAAGAGCGTTTCTCGGCAGACTCTCACCCCGCTGCATTCTCCCGGCCACCGTAACCCGATCGCTCCCTCGCACAGCCTCCGCGTTTCCCAATCCGCGGAAGCGATCCGAGAAACGGGC